TTTTTTTTTTTGAATTGTTCATCCAATCAGAACAAACAAATAGATTATTTTTTAAAGACCAAACGAAAAATGTTCCTTCCGTTAGTGATAATTAACTGACCTCCACACATTTTCTAAGAGCAAAATCAAGCCCCCATCCATGGACCAAATCGTTCTGCAGCATTAGCCGATACTTTAAATATATTAAAACATTCACACACAATTGAAATACCAAATATGAAAAGTCCGAAAAATCTAAATACCTGAATCATATGCCAAACACAGCGCCATGCAGCTCGAGAGAACACTGGAGCCATGATCTCCACAAATCTGTACATCACTTTAATTTTTTTAAAAAAAAATACATACATACATAGAAGAAAAAATAATAATTCTTAGATGGTAAAAAGTAAAAAAGCTCATGTCGTACGCAGCACAGGGAGGCAAGTGAGGATCCGTGCACCAGCCGGGCCTTTCCTCTGTATCCCTGTAAGTGACAAAAACTAAATAATAAAAAATTTAATTTTGTGTAGTTCGACTCATCAGGAAATGAATCAAATGTACTTGTGAACTTCAGTATCTTCTCTTCTTTGTGTCATTTGCCATGTCATTCCACTCTCTGGGGATAAACCGGGCTGTGAAATATCCAACTTATGTTTCTTCACTAGATTTATATATCTGTTCACAAATGATACAACAATAAAGTTGGGTTCTTTTTCTTCAAAAAGAACAAGAAAAAAAGGGAAAAAAAAAAAAAAAACCTACGCCTCTGGGTCAAAGTTATCAACACCTAAGTCTTCATCCCAGATAAATATATAATCATAGGGTGCCACAATGTCCGGGTGCAAAAAGCGCTTTGCATACCACCTAGCATTATGAAGTTATGAACACATTATAATTGTTTTTTTTTTTTTTTTTCAGTTTGTCCTTTTCAGTATGTTATTATGACAATGATCTGGTAGAGAAGAGTCATGAAATTTATCACACAATTACCATTTAGTCTGCTTTCGTACGCTGACATGGATAGCTCGTTTCGACCACTCAAATTCGTCCCACTCGGTCGTTCGACCATCGTAGTGAAACAGTAAAATCGTAAAGTTTTCTGTCAACTGTAAAACCGTATTCAAGAAAATTCAAATGCAGACTCAGATCATAAAAAGCATACTTAGAGGGAGAGATAATCAAAACAAGGTAAACTTTTGCCAACGCCTTGCCTTTTTTACTGCAGCATCAATGTTGTTTTTCTGATCATAGCCAACGGTAAAAGTAATAAGGTATCTGGGTCTAACAATCAAGTCCTGTAAGGGTCAATCTATTTGGTCAAAAATTGGTGAGAAATGAGAATAAAGATAACAACACAATTCAGAATGATGTGTAACAGTTAATAATATATATGAAGAAGTTTGAAGGAGAAACACCACATGATGTAAGAAGATTAACTCGAGCTATGCAAACCTCACTAGGAAGACCCCACAATCTGCGAATGTATAAATCGGATTCGGCTGCAATAACGCCAGGTGGCAGTCTCTCAGCACCTCGAGGATTGGTTGGAACCCATATCTGCACAAATTATTAATCATACAAGATTTGGAAAATGTTTTAAACTATAATTTGCTAGAATTAGTAAATACCAAGGGAAATTTACTTCAAAAATCAAAAGTATAGAGAAAATTCTTCTTTTGAGAGGAATACAACAGACATTAAGTCAAGCTTAATAATATAAAACTGGTCACCTTAGTATTATTAAACTTGCGTGAGATGCCTCTACGCCCCTTAAAGGAAGACCATACGTTCAACAGAGCTTGAGTAGATAGACCTGAGTACTTGTCCTCGATATAAGTAAGATCAATCGAAGGGAATATGTTTGATGGCAAATTAACCTGGAAATAAGCAAGTGGCTCAATGAAAATGATCCCAACAAGATTCCAAAAAAAACTAACATATAACCCTCACGAATCTAGTGCAAAGCTCGCTCATACTAATAACCGAAAAGAGCAAGTTTCAAGTCTCATGCCTTTGTCAATGAAGTCGATGGAAAAGATACGCCCAAAAAGAATCCAAATGTAATCCCCACAAAGGTCGTCATAACAAGCCTCATTGTGTCATTTGTCTTCCTCGTTTGGCAGCTGCTGAGTAAATAAAATAAAAAAAGAGAATACATATCCATCGATGGTACTACAGCTAATTGAGCTTCAACGAAAAGTTTCTGAGTCGTAGAGTTACTTTGAAATCGTGGACCTTCTCATTGGTGTACCCATTTTACTCACAGTTTTTTTGCGAGCTTACAATGTCCACTCTATGTATCAGTATCCGTCAAGCTTCCATTGCCTTAGAAAATAAAATGCACTTTTTCAATCATTTTCATCAACCTTTTGCAGCCCAATAAGCTGGTAAAATGTGAAACGTAACCAACCACAACACAAAGATACACTTATTTCAGGTAAATACATTGAAAAAAAGTCCAAATTCCAATACCCCATAGCCATAAATCTGTTACACTATCAAGACATCCAGCTCTGAAATTCCAATACCACACTAAAATCAAAACGAGTGAAAAATAATTAAAGATAAAAAAAGGAAGCAAAATTTTAGATTTATGAACAGTTCAAACAGATGCAGAGAAAGTAATGAACTTTCCACTACTGATCGACGGTTAAGGAAATAAAATGGTAACCACAAATAAGAAAACACAAAAAATGAAAGATGAATCAAATTAAACAACGTTGCAGAAGGTAATGATTCAAGAACCTGAAACGTCAGCGATTTGACTCAGTGCCCTTTTCGGGAAAATTCGAACAGCCTTCAAACTGTCCAAGACCGAGGTTTCAAACGCAAGTGGGGTATACTTTTCGGAGTGAGTGAGTGGTGATACAACAGAGCGAGAAAAAGGCAGCAATCAAAACAAATGGGGGAGCCCCTCCCAAAAGAGATGTATCTTTCTTGAGATTGCAATAAAACAGGCAAAACTGCTATATC